AATATTAGATGTCAAACTATGATGCTTTTGTAATGTTAGTTTTTGGTGTCACTTTGCAAGACTTAAAATACCATTTGACATTTATGATATAAACTTCATATTGAGAAAAGGTCATGACCATTATTTGTAAAAAAAAGTGGTAAATGTCTTGTTTACCATAGTCATGAGTTGAAGTATTAAGACTATATCTTAACTCATGCAAGTCATTGTGTTCCTTATACCTTTTAGTAACAACATTTTCTATACTTTCCTGCAGAATAAAGTTGACTGTACGGACAAAAAAAAAAAAACCAATATCATTGAGAAGCTTTAAACTTGTTACTATAATACGTACTGCATAAAACACACTTATATTGAGTTTTTCTGCCCCATGCAGGCTGGTGTGTACAGCGGGGTCCATTTTGCGCTGTTCACTGTCGGACTGCCTCTGATCGGTTACCCGGCACGAGCAGCCACCAAGAGCCAAACCGTCTCCACAAACTTCATCAGAAAGTCATTCAACTTCTTCGGTAAGAATCTACGTGTACTCCGTGTTTACCGTAGATAAAGTTCTAAAGATGGGTGTTGAAAGAGACGGAGTTGTTGCTGATCTTAGTTTCTTGAGTGAGAGTGATAGAGCTATTTCTAGAGTGCACCATTGCTTGATGACAATTAAGAATTTTCAGCACCGTTTTTATTTTCGCGGTGACATTTCGGGACTCCATCACGAATTGTGAAATACTACCTGCACGTTTTCAAGCGCAAATTTAAAACCCGGTATCGTTACTCCCCCTCAGGTCTTGCCATTGCTGGCAGCTTCCTGTTGTCGACAGGGTTGGCAGGAGACTCGCTGGAGAAGGCCGTGCCGTTCCTCACCATCGGCTTCGGTGCACTGGCGCTCCCTCTGGCAGCAGGTGTGTCTTGTACTTTCGGTTTTTAATTGGAAGTTGTATCAATGAAATGATACTCCCCTTAGAGTGGTTCTCGACGTCGAAGGCTTAAAGGCACAAATTTTAGCACTATGATGTTCAAGCATTAATGTCACCGTGTCTAAACTATATATATATATATATATATATATATGCATATGTGTGTAGTACATGTGTATGTGTATGTGTATGTGTGTATGTGTACCTGTACGTGTATGTGTATGTGTGTATGTGTACGTGTATGTGTATGTGTGCGTGCTACACCACGTTTCTTTAATTCTTATAGTATGTGTTGCATTCCAGGGTACAACGTGAACGCGCTGGACATCGCGGGGGTTCACGCCAGTAAGTTGATGGGCGTGTCCGGCGGCCTGTCCACCATCATGGGGATCATCACGCCCATCTGTGTAGGAGGAGGTACCCTACATCAGGTATGTCTCATGTACACACATTCTACATGTAAATCTAGGGTGATGTGGTGTGTATACACCTACGTGTACATGTAGAACAATTGCATGGCTAGGGAGTTCATCCAGCATGTGCATGGTCAAATACTGACCCTGTCTAGGAGGGGATAGTGGAGGCTAATATTGCACATTAACGTGTCTTCTGGTAGTTTATGAAAGAGTTGCACTTACTGCATGTTAGTTTAATTTTTTAAATCAAAGTCAGTCAAGTTGAATCTGTTCTTTAGAATACCACTGGATACTTGGCAGGTTGTCTACATCTGCGGTGAACTTTTTAAAGCACCAGAGACCAGACATGAAAATATGAGTTAAAACTGACCTTATCCTGTTAACTCCTCCACAGAACGCCGTAGAGTGGAACATCATCTGGACGGTGTCTGCCGGCCTCCTGTTCAGCAGCGCCACCATCTTCCTCTGCTGCGGCTCGGGGTCGCCTGAAGACTGGTCAGGTGCAGCACCGGCCCCTAGCGAGGCATCGAGTTCTGCAGCTTCCACATCAGGAGATTCAGAGCAGCCTGACTCGGATGAGAAACCAGCCGACGAGAAGCCCGCAGAAGACAAGCCCGCAGAAGACAAACCAGCTGAAGACAAGCCGGCAGAGTAGCAACCGTTGGATTATCTAAAATGTGCAAGTCATGGAAATAGCAACTGATACTGATGTTCTATAAGATAAAAAGGATATTGATATATCATACAACCCTTTCTCCCCACGAGGAGAAAAATCAATTATCTATACGGCGCCTTTACGTGTGAGGCTTGGGGCATTACAATCAACTGCTTTTCATTGGGCTTAGGCATATTCATCAGCAGTAAATTTCAGCTACATTTTGGAAAATCGCCCAACAAACATCTCTGCTGTGTAATATGCTTTTGCTTTGAATTCTATGACGCTTTCGAGTAGTCTTGTTACATTATGTTTATGATCTCAGTATACTTGGATCGGTGCTACGATTGTTACTTGAGGAACTAACCCCGATAATGGTGATCAATGTTTTGTCATATTGTTAACAAGTTATGATTATGTCTTTCTCCTGGGTACTTGCATGGTTTGTTATGGTATAGTGTACTTTCATCTTTTTGTCCTCATTAACTGAGGTATATTGTAATACAAGGAAATTTCCTACGATATAATTTATTCGAGAAAACTTACAATCTATTCAATTTCAATGTGGATGCCATCACAAACCGGTCGACATATTGAAAAGTGGTGAAGCTGCCATACGTACAAATATGCATTTCATCTGAAATTGAACAGAAAATCGGGTACTAAAGACAACACCACGATATTGTTCTCCATTACAACAACAACGAGCTTCATTACTAAAAGTACAATGCAAAAATGCCCCATTTCCTTCTAAACTCCTAATAACAGCAAAAGTTTGCAGCACTTAGCTTCGGCGACAAATAACAAGTTGAGGAGGCAGCCAAGTGGGACGTACCACCTAAGGTGTACTTCACGTTCTCGTAATGACGTGGAACGTGGCATTTAGTTTAGAGCCTAGGTTGTATATTTTGCCATCATGGTGACTGTGCCTTTTTTATTGCCAACATACAAAAATGCTTTGCGTTTATCATTTTCCTCGGAGCTGGTAATAAAGAAAACAACCTTTCGTTTCAAATTGGGAAGAATGGGTGAGCATGCACGACTAAAATTTGCCCGCATACGACATTTTCCTGTAAAACCTACATACTTCGACATGTAAGGGCCATTATTCATCCACGAACTCGAACTATCGACTCTAAATCTTTTATTACATTTCCTTGTCGGGGACTTGAATTATGCGGGGATACAATGATGGGTGGCCATAGGATTAGTTGCCATAGTAATCAATGAAATTACATTATGGTGTACGTGGTGATTTTGACAGTGAACAAATAGCATAGCCATCAGGGTCACAGAAAGGCAAGTGTCTGCAAGAGTAAAATAGCTTCGAAATACCGTCTTGCTTGTTATTTTTTGTTACCCCTCATTACAAGGAGTAACACTGCATCACGCCAGAGCCGACACACTGTAGTTAACGTGCTTTTTGATTTGTGATACTGTTATTTCACAGTGGAGGTAATAAAGGTACGAGCTCCTCGTTTGTACAACAATCACGTTTCTGGCGTGTTCTTTTGGATGCTGGCAAGGTCAGCGCCAACGCAATTTTGTCTAGTTTATATGCGCTGTGTAGCTAGGACCGGTAGGCGAAGGAGAGACGCATGGGTGTAATAAAACCATCCCCGTGTACAGAGCGTTCTTTGAAGTACTCACGGATTCAGTCCTAAGGAATGTAATAGAAGAAAAAGACGTAAATCACATCTTCTAGAGGGAGCGGGTTGCAATATTCATGCAGGTCGATACGTCTGGAGGCAAGCTTTATTTTCCCCACACGGTCCGGGATATTGCAGAAATTCTATAAAGGTGACATGTAACCCAGCAATTAGTGGAATAATTGGCTGTTATCGTATCATCTTGGCGCGCGACCTTCCACTGCATGTGTAAATCAGAATTTACGACGGTCATATTCACTTCAAGTTCTACCATCATATTTCATGGACATATAAAGGTAATCCGAGCCCCCTACTCGGTATGACTGCCCTCCAGGCTTCCGATGGCACGCCTAGAGTGATGTCAGGCTCTGACACATAATACCGGGGATGAGGGGCCAACATGGCATGGATTGCGCGGTAAAAGGGCTGAGATGGTTGCGAGAAAATGGCCAGAGAAAATTAGGTCGGTTTGCTTGGAGGGTGATTCAGCTCCGTACTTTGATAGGGTGTTACATCTCTTACCCCAAACACAGGTGCATTTTTAACACCGTGTTTTTAAACCATTTTTACCACTTCTGATGGGGATGGCTAACGACGACGTTTAGTACCCCACCTCCTTGTTTTGAGACCGGATAGTTCTGAAACAGTATTAACATACATGATGTGTGGAGATTTATGAGGAAGCATAGCACTTCTGGAGACTTGGGTGACCTGATCTGAATAAAGGGTCGAGTTACATTTGACCTATTAATGTGATCATTGCCTTTGACATGCTACGTGCATGAACCGTTGGACACAAATGGCGAAGTGCATGCATGGTGCGGGGGTTTCTTTGTTGGCTGCAATGTGGATAACAGTGATCAGTAATAGTTTGCCACGCATTCAAAAGTAAAAGTAATGCCATAGGTAACAGCAGACCATTGTAACTTCTCAAGTACTATCTCACGATTCACGAAATTTATAGCAATACTCCTATGTTGGTAGTTTGTAGTGAATACTAAACTAATTTTGTATTCCTATATACCAAATGTACTTCATAATTAATTATATTATACTTATCTTATTGTTGTTACTCTCTTCATGTAGTTTGCCATACATTGTACCATGTGCAATTGTCGTGCAATAAAGTTCTACATTAATACACGTATATGGTCACATTATATGATTGGTTGCCGCGCCATTTTCACGAAAGTTCTCGTTTCTGAAATTCATCAAGAAAAAATCCCCCGACTCGGCTGAACTGAAAAACTAGTAGCCTCTACCAGGCTTGAGGGCGCGGCTGGAAATAGTAGAAATTGGCCAAATAGAGAGATAACACGCCGAGGGAGTTTAGCCTTCCAGTTTACAGTTTGCCGGCCGGCAGTTTGCGCCCTCAAGCCTGGTAGAGGCTAAAAAAACTAGCACAATAAAAATCCAATGCGCAACCATGGTGTGTGAGCAAGTAAGAAACGGCATGATGCCAGTCAAGTTTAGAATAGGAACTAGCTGTAAAGAGATGGACAGGAGGTAAACACTTCTTCGGATGTACATTTATTTGTAGCTGCGACAATAAAATGAACACAGCGCCACTAACAAGTGTTGTACCAGTTAGTTTATTGAGTAACTGCCAACATCTACCATATATCTGCTATTGCACTTGCCACTTGAAATCCTACTTGCCCTTTTAGAGTTACATGTACGTAGTTGTTTCCTTCACGTTTACGAACACATTGCTGGACTTGCACATACAGCTACATCATAGAAATGTCCACTGAAAGCAGTCGTCTACCTTGCTTTTACTTTTGCAGGTGGGAAACATTGACTTTGCTTTCTCATGTATTCTTTCACACCTAGAAACTTTCTCGAATAACGAACACCTTCCTTCTCAAAGCAAAACCAACGTTTGTCTTGTTGATTATTTTGCAAAAGCGACTGCTTTTGTCCAAATGAATGCAGTTAGAGTATAGCTGTTACCTGGGTACATACTTTGAATCATTGCTCTCAGATGGGTTAGTTTTGTATTGACAGCTGCTCTAGTCCCATATATCACTGATGATATGATATCAATAATCTTTGGCCAAAACTACAAATTGTCTACAACTTCCAGAATAAAAAGACATACACAACTTTTATCTTTGTCCTCTTTTCTTGAAGCCATCACCTTTTCAACAAGTGTGAACATCGCTGTGATGAAGCTTTACACTGCACAAACCATTCCTGGCATTCAAGCAGTTTCCCAGCACATCTTCTACTATATAACATTTTATTAGCAAGGGAAGCATATAGATTCTAGCTGACAAGTGCTTCACTACGTCACTATCATTGCTACAGAGCTGATACTCTTAATTTAACAAATGTTTTAACATGGAAGTAACAAATGTAACAAATAAGTGCAAACATGTAACAAGGAGTACAAATGCAGTGAACGATACATGGTGTTTTACTTTTGTGGGTCGAGAATAGTGGGATTTGCTATACATGACTTTGATTCATTATATGTTGCTTGGTCCAGTTAAATGGGTATTGTATCTATCCTGTATCTAGATATTTCTAAGAAAAGCTGGCAGAATTGTAGGGATGGGATTTAATGTGAAACATAACAGAAAAATGTGGATATATAATTTCTTGTTTTCCTCTTGACATTACAATAAAATAAAAAAAATACAGCTTTCCAGCTTTTTTCATGTCTTGACATGTGGAAAAGGCCTGAAAAATGCTCATCAGCTGTATTTGGAGAACATTTGTGAGAACAACCTTCTATGTACTGGATGTCATTTCTATTTCAAGTAAACTGACCATTTATTTTAACAGCTATCTATTTTTGTACAGAAAGACACATAGCTCTTGTATATCTCAATAATGTGTAAATCTTTGGAAGAAAGTATTAAGGCGGAAGATGAATACCTTGACACCCAGAGAGAACATTTTTATCCTTGCATCCAGTCAAATTATCCCAATTACTGAGGATCACCAACCAAAACTGTATGGAACCTCATAACTGTAACATACAACCAGGAATCAGAGATCTTAACCTGGCAATGAGGAAATATGTTCTCAAGATTGGTATGTCCTTTGACCAAAGTGTTACCTAGGTTAAAGCAGCTCTTCTGGGTTGCAGGGTACACAAAACAGTGTCACTCTTTTTAAAGATATCACAGCATTTGGAATTTACCTTGCATTTCAAAAAGCCCAGCACCAAGTTGAAGCTACAAACATGCACCAATCATTATTAGCATTTCTCCGTATCATTTGTGGCATTTTCTCTAAGGGAATCCCAGTCCGTGTTCAAGATTTACGTACTTTTGTTATAGCATTTTTTTGTACATCACTTTGCACATGCAGCACTTTTATACCAGTTCAACTACAGCACTATAGGATTTGTGAATCTGGCAAACTTTAGATTCAAATCTTGTGGGGGCTTGTACCAGCTGGGTGCCAGCAAAATTCCTTCTTGTCCTCGTCCCCACTGCCTCAGCCAGATGTAGCAAACTCCTTTTTGTTCCTGCGAACCTCCTGCGCACGCTTTTCCTGCGTTAAAAGAGGTAAAAAAAATTGTGGGGTCAAAGTGTGCTGCTTCATTGCTACCAGCTTTCCTTCCATCAGCTTATAAGTAACCTTACCCCAAGAATGATGATCATTAAGGGTCTGTCTTTCTTCAGACAGAAAATTCTTACATCTAATTCGATCCCAAGTGATTTGAAAAGTTAGTATAAGCAATGTTTGTCAACTTGATGTAGTCTTTATCTAACCTCACTCGACATACAGTTAACCATCTGCAAATGTACATTTTTCTCCACAGTGGTCAAGTTAAATTAAAAGTCCCAACTACATACCATCACAATAAATTTACAAAAAAGGTTGAACTTCACTCTTTCCATTTATTCTAGTTTTCCTTTCAAATGTGCTAATACAATATTATCTGGTTCTATGCAAATGATGAAAACCTGTTATTCTAAATGTCCAACATTTTTAACAGATGTTACTGGTAACTCAGAATTGCCTGAAACTAACTGTTACTATGCAGTGGGGGTTCATTATCAAGGTAAAAAGTTCAAAATTCTTTAAGAATCAATTAAGAACTTAATTTTTAAAATGTGGGTCTACTGATAGATGAAAACTTCTTGGGAAAATTCATTTGGGTTATGTTATGTTCAAATAAGAAATACAAGAAGAAATGAAATGCAAAGGAGAACATGGGGTTGAGAGTGCCAATTGGAATGGTGAAGTTATGTTCTCATACTTAAGCCTTTGGAGAATTGGTCATTATCATCTTGTTCTGGCGAACGACTTCAGCGCGCTGATCCTGAGGGAACAAAATTATGGAAATCAAAATCAAGCAAATACAGAAACAAAACCAGAAACGTAACAAACAACATTTTATAGCTTCAGGTTATGAATGCAAACTCAGTCTGCATTTGTTTCCTAAGTGCCTGACAGTAAACATAATCTTTCCTCAACATTTTTGAGATACATTCTAATGAGATCTCTGCATAACACCTGAAAAATTTATATTTTCATGGATTGGTTGTAACAAGTTTCACAAAACAGAAACATGTACAGAAACTCCCTACAAATAACTGCAGTGGCCTTAATGATATCATAATCTGGCATCTAGAACCCAAGCACTCCCTTGTGTATATTTGTCTTGGATGACTAACACAGTAATGGGCTATTTTTCACTTACCTGGTGTGATCAGTGCGCAATTCTTTTTCAGCAATTCGGACATTAACGGAACAGTTACCATTCTCCAGGGATACGTGTACATCTAAATGTATATTAGTCAGAATCCGACAACTGCAAGAATCAGGCAGCAGGTACAGTGAACTAGCAGAGTTTAAACAGCCTCCTCCTTTTCACCAGCTTCTTTTGGTTTCCAAAAAGATAAAATCTTCATCAGCAGATGAAAATCATCAGTTTTTCTTCATATGTTTTGTGTGATGGTACAAGTCCTAGAAATGTATTGTGAATATCTACAACACAACATGCAACATGAGACCACCTGAGCCAGTTTGATAGACCTTCACAACATGTTAACATTTAGAAAATAGAGTTTACCTAAAAAAATCATCCGTGTGAAGGTCTTAAATTGTAAAGTTTGTTGGTCCCAAATCTTTTTGTCCTTATCCTTGCATGCTTTCAGAGGGTGGCCAATTTGAATCATTGATTTTGAATCACTCAGTTTGTGATTGTAAAAAATGCTCTCCCAGACTGACATGGCTGGCTGGCCCTAACAGCTCATAACTTACCATCTCCTTGAGACGTTCAATCTTGGCCTGCCTCTGAGCTTGCTGGTTCTGCTCATAAAGCTGGAGAAATACATTGGATGGGGAAATGTAACTTGCCACAATATATCACAATAAAATGGTTCTTGGTGTTGTACATGTACATGACCAGTGCACGCTGAGGAAACAATACTTATCACAGTCATTCAGAAAAGTCTTCCCCTACAATGGAAGCTATTGAAAAACCAAGTTTCTCAACCAGAAACAATGTCTATGGATATTTATAAATGCATTATTCAATTTCCCTTTGAATAATAAGTCACTTGAAACCCAGATGTGGACATCACTCACAGATTTGAATTAAGTCTGTCTTACTGGGATGGGTGAATGATCCCATGAAATTGCTTTAGTGAAAGATGAGCAATAGTGCAGAAAGCTGAAAAAATGCATGAATCAACTGGTTCTAACTGATGAAACATGATTGAAGCACACGTCAATTCATCACTGTCAAATGGGCTGTGCCCTATTCTAATTAAGAAAGTAGCATACATGTGATTGTGAATCAGGACCTGTTATTTATATATAGTGTTAAGGCAGAACAGTGCAAAATACAAACCTCCTGCTTCTTCTCAAGTTCCTCTTGCGCCTTCTTGGCAAAGGCTGCTTCAACCTCCGCTGCCTTGCTCAGCACCTCCATCTGATGCTCACGTTCCTTGGCCAACTTTTTGAGTGTCTCTGCCTCCATGGACTGTGTAACAAAACATTTACCATTGTGATAAATTGGAAGGTACCAACACAAAATATAACAGCTACAAAAAAACTACATGTGCATGTAGAGTTTCCTTTGTTCCACCTTCATCCTCATGTGAGTATTTTGGTCTAAATCAAAAGACAGACCAAACATACCTGTCCTTGGTGCTGAACACCATTCACACATTCATTCGAAAATACACCTGTCCTTGGTGCTGAACACCATCCACACACAGGCAAACATACCTGACCTTGGTGCTGAACACTATTCACACATTCATTCGAAAATACACCTGTCCTTGGTGCTGAACACCATCCACACACAGGCAAACATACCTGACCTTGGTGCTGAACACTATTCACACATAGGCATATACATCTGTTCTTACTAGTTGAAAGTTGAAGAACATAGTTGATTTTCATTCTCACAGAAACAAAATTCCAACCATTTCTTGTCTTATTTACTAAGCATGTAAATCACAAATACATCTGTAGTTAACACCTATTACACATGCAAGATAATCAAATTTCAAAATGGTATCTTCCGGTAAATGTACAATTTGCTACCAAAATGAAATTCGCATGCAGAATGTGTCCCAAATGTCATCTCTCAAACCATCAAGTCGTAAGATTGAGGATTTTATAACATGACCTCTGACATCTATGACATCCATTGACCTTTAGCCGGCTTGTGATTTGACAGTTAGCCCTAGACTCAACCAGAATATAAACGACCGTTATTTTTTAACAGTTGTGCACATTAATATGCAGCAAAGCAGAAATCAATGTCAGTCTTCTCTGCCTTATTGGTTTAGATTTCTACTATCAAAGGAATGGACCAGCATCTCAGAATGGATGCGACTGTTTTAAAATCTCTTTTCAAAATGTGCCAACAACTGAAAAGATATATACATATATGTAATAAATGTTCAAATGAACAGCAGTTAGAAGTGGAGGTACAAGGTAATTAATAGTAATACATGTAGGTAAAACTATGGCCTCATCACACCTTTCGTCTCTCTTCTGCCTTCTCAAGTTTCTCCTGGATGGTCTTGGCATCCAAACAGGTTGGGCTCCTGGGCGGAGATGATAGTTTGACTTCACTGGCATCTTTTGAAGGTGGTTTGATGACCACTTCAAATGCCTGGCCACTTTTGTCCAGTTGCTTCACCTGCATATCTGCTCAAACAGGAAAAATCTGGCTGAACTACTACTAGCTTTCCATTCTAATCTACTGTATAAAACTATAACATTACATAAAGTTGAAGATATACTTTACTTAAGGCCACACCAATTTTATTTGTTGCTTATTGGATTTTTTCAGAAATAATATGAAGTGACAGGGCGATAAAAAATAAAAACAGGCCTGGGCATCCTATTATAGCCCCAAATGTTAGAATAGGTGCCATGAAGTCAACACAAAAGACTGGGTTAAAATTTAAACAATGAATTCTGAACTTTTAATCAAACCACTGCATTGGTAGATGTAACAACTAGGAAGAAAAGGAGTTTCTTCAACTGTTGGGCAAAATATGGGCATTTTTCAGTTGATTAAGACTCAGAATTTTGTTTTTTTTTTTGCAAATCAGAAAAAAAAATGAAGAGGCGAATCCGAGAAGCAACAAATCAAATTGGTGTGGCCTAAGCCCCATAATAAATAAAATTTTGTTTAGCTCAGTCTATAGGTTCATGTATTTACTCTTTTCTTTATGAGCATGAAATGTGCAAGTGCAAAGGCCACATATACATACATAATACATATGAGCTGAGAGACTGTACATTTAAAATAATCCGATCCATAACAAAACTTAAGGCCTTCTCATTTACTGGATTGTCCAGATGTCACTGCCTCTAATGAGTTCACTGCCTCTAATTGAGTGAAGATACATATCAACTTGATAAGTGAACTATAGTATATCTTTGCTAATTGATATCTTTTGGCTGACAAAAGACAAATATATCCACAGCTGTTCATCATCAGATAACCACTTTTGTAATGACTACATCTATAATTCTGAATTTGTCCCTACCATTCTGTAAATGGAAGAGTCCTGATGATTCTTTTAAAATGAAGCAGTATAATCAGATTTTCTTGTGGAGCTGTGAGATACATCAGCTGACCAGGATAGCCCAGGCATTTGCGGACCAGGATAGCCCGAGCAACCATGTAATTGCTTGACATAGTGTCAGGAGGTTTACAGATATACCATTGCATTACTCTTGCGTATGTCACCAAGTAATGAATATACAGTTGCATGCAAAATTATTCAACCCCTCTTATATTTTGGGGAATTTTGCCAAAATAAGGAAAATTACAACTGTAGAATATGCCTAACTCATGTAAGTGATTAACATATAGTTAACTACAATTTAATATCAGAGAAAAAGTCAATATTATTTCATAGTTCATCTGAAATGGCAACTTTAACACAAAAAGCAGGTGGCAAAATTATTCAACCCCTATACAACTCATCAGCTAGGGTTGCATGATTATGGAGAATCACAACTAACATGCCACGTCCAAAAGCACTAGTAATGCAATGAGGTAAGATGTGCATGTCCATAATATTTGTATTATCCTGTAATTTTCCACCAAATGTGTAGTATTACACACTTTGTGTCATTGCTGCTCACATGCCTCTTGTTGTAAAATGGCGAAAGCAAGAGAGTTGTCCCAGAGGTTTAAATAGGAGATAGTAGCCTTACACAATAAAGGAAATAGATATAAGAGGATATCCAAGCTCTTTAAAGTTCCCAGAGATACCATTGGTAGCATTATTCGCAAGTTCAAGGCATCTGGTACTGTGGCCACACAGGGAGGTCATGGACGAAAGAAGAATATTTCATCAGCTACAGCAAGTTTCCTGAGAGAATAGGTGGACAAAACCTCCAGGCTTACTGCAAAGGACCTGAGACAGAGCTTGGCTGGAGGAGGAAGTGATGTTTCAGGCGGTACAGCACGTTGCACACTTCATGCTGAAGGGTTCAATACCAGAACCCCAAGACGCACACCGCTGCTGAAGCCAAGCCACAAGAAAAGTTGCTTCCAGTATGCTGAACCCAGCCTATCAAACCCACAGAACTTTTGGGACACTGTCCTATGGACTGATGAAGCAAAACTTGAGTTCTTTGGTCCTGTGGATCAGAGGTTTGTTTTGCACAGGAGGATCCAGACATACGCAGAGTAGAACACCCTGCCTACCGTGAAGCATGGCGGTAAGTCTGTGATGTTGTGGGTGTGTTTTGCTTCTAATGGTACTGGGGAAACTCCACCATGTTGACGGCATCATGGATTCAACCAAGTATCAGGATATTCTAGCCAAGAAAGTCACCAAGTCCTTGAAGAAGTTGAAGCTGGGGCGTCATTGGACATTACAGCAAGTCAACGACCCCAAGCACACATCGAAATCCACGAAGGCTTGGTTGGAGAAGAAAGGCTAGAAGGTCCTGGAGTGGCCATCGCAGTCTCCCGACTTAAACCCAATTGAGAATCTGTGGTGAGACCTGACGAAAGCTGTTGCAGCAGGAAAGACTAAGAACATTGCTGAGATGGAGATATTCGCCAACAAGGAATTGGCCAAAATCCCCAAATAGCACTGCCAGAATATCATGACAAGCTATCGTTCCCGTCTGCAACAGGCCAGTGCAGTTACAGGGGTGCTGCACGAATTTCTAGAGGAATCCTCGTAGGGGGTTGAATAATTTTGCACTGCTTTTGTGTTAAAGTTGCCATTTCAG